CATTCAGACGATGGGTGCAAATCCTTCATAGAAACGCAACAACAAGAGTCATCGTCAATGGCAACCTGGCACCACCAATCACCCTGCAAAGATCAGTGAGACAGGGAGACCCGTTGGCCCCATTCCTCTTTGTCATAATCATGGAAGCACTAGCAGCGAACTTAAGAACTCATAAAGACATACAAAAAATACAACTTTCCTCGATCCCAAAAGAAGCTATCCCAGTTTACTCCATGTTTGCTGACGACCTGACCCTCATGGTAGACGCAACCCGAGCATCGATGGAAGGCGTCCAACACATGATGGATCGCTTTTGTACCCTATCTGACATGAGAGTAAACTGGGGAAACAAAACTTTGGGATGGTGGATCCATCATCAAGGTGTAAGACCCCCGGAACATCCGAAGGTCAAGAAGCCCCGATTAGAGTTCTGGGAGTCTCCCTGACAGCCAATGGTAGACCAACAGCAAATAACGAATGGATAGCCAGACCCCCCCTGGGAAAGTTGGCATTATGGAAGGACAAACACACTTCGCTGTTAGGAAGAACCCTAGTGATCAACAACGTCGTGCTTGCCACTCTTTGGTATAGATCAGCCATCTGGGGGCTAGATAAGGCCACCCTATGCCCCCTCCAGCAACAGATAGCTGCATTTTTATGGTGGCGGGACCACGAAAAACAGAATGTGATAAGCTGAGTGGCATGGCAGTCAATCATCCAACCCAAAGCGAAAGAGGGGTTGGGCATAATTGACCCTGCGACACAAGTTAAGGCACTGGCCATACAGTGGCTTAAACGCCTGCTTTTTTGCACACAGATCCCCTGGAGAGAGTTGGCCCTGGAACAGATTTCAAGGCTAGCCCCAGAAGCACCAACCCACATCAGTCCGCTCACATGGGTTGAAAACAGAGATTGGTCAATTCCACGGCGACAGTCTCAACAAGAAAACCTTCCCGCTGACTCGCCAAGACAAGAGGCAAGAAAGGATCTCCATAATGACCCTTTCTGGCCTATCCTCCTACAAACATGGAGGAGTCTCCCCTTGCCAGACAAAACAACACCTGAGAGATGGGATGAAGTGGTCCGACAACCATTGTTTGGGAACAAAAGGATAACTAACTTAAGGGTCAGATGCTGCACTGCATGGATTCCCCTTGGAAAGGATGGGTTAAAAGGGGTCCTGAGAATCAGGGACATCTGGGACGTTGATAGAAGAGACAGGATCAAGGGGGAGAGTCTCAAGGAAAAATTGAGATATTGTCACAGACCAGAACAGGCGATGGATAGCCTAATAGAATGCGTCCCCTTAAACTGGTGGAAAATTTTGACAAAATGACCCTCGTTACAAGAGTCCGACTGGGTAGCAATCCCGGGCCGCCAGGGGGAGGTGGGCCAGGTGGTGAGTTTTGATCCCAAGGGACCAGAGGGGGTGGACACATTCCAAATCGGTAATGAAAATCTCCTCCAAAAGACCAATCCAGAACAAATACAGCTCCTCGAGAAGGACGACCTCTCGAGAATCAGGGTGTTGCGAAAGGAGGACAAGTGGGTGGCATTTTCCCCAGACACGCCGATATCCCATCTACCCTTCGATACCTTGGAATGGGAATGGACAAACACAACCGGCAGAGGCAACGCCAACACCAAAACGTTGTATAACCAACTTGAGGGATCAGGTGGAAGTGAGATGGATGAAACATCTGAACATCGGCAAAGAATCGCTGAGAAACGTGAAATGGTTTCAGCTAACCAAAAAGAAACCAGCAAACCTGGCCTCCCTGCAATGGCAGATGGAACATCGCTGCCTGCCAAGAAATAACTGGTTGATAGACAGGACCACCCTCGAACAGAGAGGTCTGGCGCTCCTCTGGTGCAAACTGTGCTCCAATGCATTCCCATCAAGAAAGAAACCAGAAATAATAGGACATATCTTTCTGCAATGCCCTGGAGCGGTCTGGCTCTGGCGCTGGTGGGACAGAATATGGGATCAGTTAGGAACAGGGCTGCCTTGCCCATGGGACTGGAAAGCCCTGTTATTCGAAAGATGGCCCTCCGACAACAAGACGACTTCACCCTCAACATCTTTCGACAAGGACGAAGGGCAGTACTGTGGGCACTCTGGAGATGCCGCTGCACTTACGAAATGGAAGGAGTGAGATTGGAAGGGCCAGAATTCACAGAGAACATACAACAACAGATTCACATAAACATAACAACAATATGGGAGGAAATCAAAACACAGATCAAACACATTAACACAGAGAGTGAAATAAAGCAGAGGATACAAGATTTCTGCAAGAGCTGGCTCGGGGGGGAAACCGGGGGGCGGATAGGAAAGGTGGAATGGAAAGGGGAAAATGGGGACAGGGGGGAAGGGGGGATAACAAGACGATTACTAGAGACTATAAGCTCCTCTTCAATGACTGGACCAAGCTGGACGACTCAATCCCAATGCGGCCAAGCGGCGAATTCCCGGACTTCTTCCCCCCCCCGGCAAATAGCCTGGTGGGAGCTTCTTGGTACGGGGGAGAGTGAGGGAAAAGGGAGCAGCGGGGCCACGGGGAACGACGGCTGAAGCTGGGACTGGGTCAAACTCTATGCACATACTCATGTATATAAAGGGTCACATCTGTGTGGTGGGGAGGGAGGAACTAGTTTGTAGCAGTAGAGATCTGGCATCGGGTCAAGGTGAAGAGGTTCCCCCCCCCCCAACATATGGGACGCTGGACCCGTTTTCCAGCAGGTGATGCTCCCCACCAATAGATGGAGCCTCTCCCTGGGTGCTAGTGGTGTCTGCTCTTATTCGCATCACTAACACTGGCAGGGGCGTGTTTTTTGTGAAA